AATCTGTCTGCCTAGTAAATCCCAATCTTTAGTCGTCAGACAGAAAGGAAGTTTAATGTCATTTTTGACCATAACTTTGGAAAGGCATTTAAAAGCTGTTTTGTTAGTTGATTTCCCATTATAACTTCGTAAATTTTTCAAACTCTTATAGTTATCTTTTTCAGTCTTAGAGAGGGATGCCCCCATTTATTTATTTATTTTTTAAGGGAATATGCCGGCGCCTGCTCCTACCTGCTGGTTGCGAGGAAGGTTGAGGTATTCAAAACAGACTGCTATGCCGAAAGCTTGAGTCGTGGTGATGTAGCCTGCTAATACCTTGCCGCTTAGACACCGGTCCGTCGTCGGAACACAGACTCGCCCCCGTCTGTGCCTTAGGATTGATTATATCTTCACAGAAGAGTTCAAAGAATCTTTGCTTCACTACGTGGCACCATTTACGACAGATTAGTGGGATGGGGGAGACCTCCAGGTCTTAGTCTGCTAGCCCATTACCTGCAAGGTGAATGCCCTTCCCCCCGCCCCAGCACATGGTCCACGACCCCGCAAGGAGCACACAGACCACCAGGGAGGGACGGATGAAAGAGGAAGTTTATTGTGGGGTAGGGGTTTATAAGGCTTTCAGGAGGGTCAAAAGGGGACCAATCACAAGTTCAGGGTCACATAGAAAAAAACAATCAGGTGAAGGGTCAACAGCCAATAGGAAGGGGTTAACAAAGGCCAATGGGAAACACCTCAGGACACCTTCTCAGGACACCTTGTGTGGGAGCACAGGGGGTGTTGGGAAGAAGATCAATGACTCTGCAAAAAGGTAAAAGCCATTTTAAAACCTGTTTAAACCACATTAAAAACTTCGGTTTCTATAACATTTGAACTGTTTTCATTTTCTTCACTAGTCCATCTCTGATAGGACTTCTTCCATCCTGCATATGGCAAATCCATTGCCACAGCTGGGCTCCCCTCTCTCCCCCGGAGAGGGGAGCCCTGCGGCCCCCCTAACTCTGCCTAGGCCAGAGTTAGAGACAGCATTGGAATAAGTGCATGTTTGTGAGGGATGAGACTCACAAACAACTGGTAAGTGGGAGAGAGAGAGAGAGAGGCAGGCCCTGCGGCCAGGCCCTCTTCTTCTTCTCCCCCACCTTTGCAGCCACCTTTGCAGCCAAGCTGCAGAGGAGGGCTGTTTTTCCCTCTCGCTGTTTAGTGAGAGTAGATGCGGGGCTCAGCATTGGAGCAGAGCCAAGTGGACGGGCCGGAGGAGGCTCGATTGCTAGGGAAAAGAATCCCAGGCAAGAATTGGAGACGGACCCCTGATAGAGAGGGGCCCGGAGGATGTCTCTGCTGTGATCTAAATGCAGGACAGCCGAAAACCCGAAGGAGGAATCAACATTCCAGGACACTGATGCCGTGGAAAGTTGTTGCTAAAAAAATAACTCCGGAGCAGTTATTAGGGGTGAGATAAGGAAAGGGTTTAATGTGCCAAGGCAATTGATGTTACAAGACGCGCCCTCACTGTGCCTGAGATGTTACATTTTATAACAACATCTGTCCAATCCCAAGTGTGTCCACTGTGTTACTTTTGCCCTGATCCACCCCCCACCCCGCCCCCTGGGAATTGGGGCTGGGGGCTTTTGAGACCCTCTCTTCATCAATCTTCATCTTCTTCGGGGCACAGAGTGCACGTGGTCACCCAGTTCTTGACCGTGTTCTGCGGTTTAGGCCAAGATACAAGCATTCTCCAAACAGAACAGACCTTGCCTTGACAAGAGACTAAACATTTCTACTGGATTCGGGGGTAGGAGTGATATAAGGGTACATGGAATGGGGTAAGAGGGTTAAGGAATGTGTAAACTAAGGGTGCTACAGGGTGGAGGGACAGGGCTGCTGCTTTTAAAATCTACTTCTACTACTTATAAAACTTATAAGGCTTACAAATATTAGAAAAATAAAAAAACATTAGGGGCTTAAGGCATCAACACACACGCTTGATAAGCTGAACTACACTGCAGCAGCCTACGAACCGAGGTGGGAGACCGAGAGGGAGAAATCACACAGCAGCAGAAGAGCAAGGACTCAAAGCTATCTTCTTGGACTTTGTGAGGAGAGAGACCGCAACAAGCAGCCGGAGCTTGGTGAGGGGGGAGCGTTTGGGCCCAGAACACTCCCACGAGAGAGAGAGACTGTGTTACATATCAGCCTTGAAAGGCTTCTTCCTGGACTAAAGTTAAAGGGAGGGGCAAGGGCTTAAAGGACATATAGAAATGTAATATATATATATATCCGCTTTTAGTTTGTACAGTATATTTATTTGTGTAAATAAATGTATTTACTTCCCCCTTCCCCTACAGAAGCCTCTTGTCTGAAAGTTTTTCTCCGGTGTTAGGATAAATTGTGAGAAGGGGTGGGGGGAAGTCTGGAAAATTGGATTTTGGATTTCTAATGTGGCTCCAACTGCCACAGACCACCACTCTCAACCGGACTGCGACCATCACTCGCACCAACAGGTTTTTCCTCTCCTTTTACTTTTGGACTCAGGGGACCACATGGGGCTCAGCACGGGGGCCAACGAACACCATTCTGTTCATGCCCCAGAGTGCCGGGTTATACATCTGGGGGTTTGTGGGCTAAAACCAATTGTTCGTCTGTATAATTGTATTTATTGTATTATTTTTATTAAATTGTAATTCTGACTTATACTCTCTTTTGAATTGGGTTTATTTCTCCTGCCAGTTTACCTTTAAACCAGCACAGTGCCCTATACTTTTGCAGAGCTTGCTGTCTTTCAGCACAGTATAATTACATTTACCTGAAAATTTTATCTGTCTCTGATAGAAGCTGTTGGGTCTCAGGAGACATCCCTCTGACAAACAAGGAAAGAGATCAGCTCTAGAAGGTATGTCAGACAAAAAGGTTTTTTCTAATGATTTCAGTAAAGCCATACCTTCCAATTCTAGCTGGTTTTTTTCAGATTAAATGGTTTAAAGAGGCCCAGAAATATATGCCCAAATATATTGTAGTCTCAGAAAATCAATAGAATATGGTAGAAACTGCATTTAAGCAAATTTGAATTATCTAGACCATTTATCTAAAGCAACTTTGAATTTTACAGATCTTCTATTCCTAAGATACATGTAGTAATGTCAGCATGGTATGTTTATCTTCAATTTCCTAGAAATACTACCTTACAAATATTTTAATTGCCTTTAATTTACTATGACAAAGTAATCACTCTCCTCTACTCTCACAGTGAGGAAGAAGTCTGAAATAACAAGCTTTATTCTTTCCTTTGATTTCTTTTTCCTCTTCCCATGCTCTACAGGCTTACACACCCTTCAAACTCCTTCTCTCCACAGTGATGTAATCTTTCTGTCACTCTAAGTCAGTGTTACATCCTCTGAACATGTAATTTTATCAACGTCCAATAGGCACAAAGTCTGATCTAAAGTTTGGCCATGCAAAAATATATAAATACTTCATCGTGAGGTTCAGTGACCCACAAATTTGCAAATCTGAATGCAGGTCAAGGTTTGGATTTCAAGTTTACCCTATGTTTATAGGTGGTCACAACCAATAAAATCTGTGAGAAAAACAACAAACCTTCAGGTAGACCATAGAACAAAGAGATTTTATCCCATATACAACAAATCCCTTCCTGTCTCAATTGTCTGGAAAACATGTTTCAATATGATATCTTTATATACTGTAGAGATTCCTTTGCTTTTAGCAAATACTGTTTATAAACATCCAAAATTTTAGAATTTTAAATCAATAAAACTCTCAAGAAATTCTTTATACTATAATCTCACAGAAAAAAACCTCCACCATCAAGCACAGAATTATCCTATTTCTTTTAAAACTGAGTTATCACTGCGGATAATTCATTATCAGATAACCTATTTTTTTAAAAAAAAGTAGACAAGTAGCCAACTAGTGCCTAATAGTTGTTTAGGTATAAAAGTGTAAGTAGACAATAGCCAATGAATCCAGAAGATAGATAAAACAGGAGTGCAAGGTTAAAAAATACTAATGGCTGCTTGTGATGGATGTGAGTGAACAGTACTTTGGTTCAGGCATCACCAACAACTCGACCTCAGGGAAATCATCCTTAATGTGCAGACCTTGAGAATTGTGCTAGGTCATATCTTCTCAGGAACTAAGGAGTCTATCAGGAGCTAACACCACCAGCCTGAGCTGGGACTAGACAAAACTAAAACTGCTCCAACTACACTCCTGCACATACACCAAAGGGGAGTTTGACTACAAGTCAATCACTTTATACTATAAATATCTGTAGCCCCCTTAAACCCATTGAGCTCTCCTGTATGGCAGCAGGCTGTATGGCAATAATCTCCCCTTTGAGCAGGGATGCCTGTTAAGATTACTCCTGGCAGTTGAGACCCCTTACCCAGCATCTTATATCTATAATGGGGTAAGCAACATTTTACATTAGGCCTAAAAGTATACTGTATGTTAGCAACATTTATATATCCAGCTGTAGTTTACTTTTTAAAAGTGTAGTAAGTACTAGAGTGTTTGACTGCTATCAAAATCATCATCTAACCACTGTCTAAATTATTGTTTAAATAATTATTATTTAAATAGTTGTCAAATCATTCTCAAATTACCATTCAATTATTGCTTAATCATCATTTTATTTTTATTTAATTTTTATTCAATCATTAATTATCATTTGATCTTCGTTTAACCATTATTAAAACCCTTTTAGTTAACCCCACAACGATGTCTTCTCTTGATAATTCACCTATGACACCACTACAGGTTCAAGTTTAAATGGAAACGTTAATTAAGGGCGGAGGCGTCTGTTATTAGGGCAAGTGGAGGGGGAAAGGCTTTGTTTTCTCTGCGCGCAGCTCCATCTTACTTCCGTGGGCGGGGTGAAGCCGTGCGAGACGGTTGTCACTGCTCCTTCCGTTTCCCCACCACTGGGAGAGCAGATGACGTACGGGGTCTCTGTCCATTCCTGTATAGTCCCTAGTCTCGGGGAGTGGGAGGTTCGTGACTCCGCAGGCAAAGGCGGCGGTACTGTGAGCCGCCTCGCAAATATCTCGTCCTCTCTTTCCCCTCGCGTGGGAGCGCGCTGGCGTGTAGGCCTCAGCAACAGCCAGGAGGAGGCGGAGCTGACGCGAGCGGACCGGCGGGTTCAGGTCCCTCCTTCCTCCACCCTTCTTCCTCAATTCTTTCTTTTTCTTGCGCCTTCTTTTCGTCTTTCTCCTGTGCGTCGCGCGTTTCATTCCGCGCCGCTGCCGCAGAAAGGAAGTGGAGGTGGCACTACCAGCTTCGTGTCCCACGTCCTCTTGCCCTTCGCTCTCCTAGAAACAGTCTGAAGCCATCTGCAGCGTCTCCGACATCGGCCGTGGGGTTTCTCGCTCCACCCCCTGCCTGGAGCAGGTACACGGACACTGAAGGGTGACTGGGGGAGGATGTGGACTTGATTTCTGAGAGCTGTTAGCGCGGTGGCGGTGTGCCCAGAGGAGCGGCGCGGGGGGTGCTTGGGCCTCCCCGAGGCGTTATTGCTGCCTTTCGCGAGGCGAGAAGTGGCAGGGCCTCTATCGTTTTACCTGGCGGACTCTTTCCCTCTGACGTGACGGGTGCTGCGGTGGGAGGCCGCGGGCCAGGATGGCGTACACCCTACTCCCTTCTCAGCGGGGCAGACAGGGAGCGAGACAATGAGGTTTCCTCGGTCCTCGCTGAGAGAGGAGCTGGCTTTTTGTTTGTTTTACCTCCTTAGGCTGGCAACTTTCATGTCTTTTGTGTTTTGGTGTCCTGGGGGAGGGCGTGGGTCTGTGGAGGCAATGGCGACTAAAACGTACCACGCTTTGAGCACTTGGTGGTGCCTCCCTTTTTGTCTGGATTACTGAGCTGCGTTTAATTGTCACTGGGAAATGCCTGGGTTTGATCCGCATTTATTTCTTCTTTTTGCTTCACCTAGAACACTGTTAGAGAGGCATATACCTGGAATATCCTTACTGGTTTTGTTTGGTTTGGGTTTGGTTTTTTTTATGGTCCATTTTCTAGACGGGGATATTAAGATAAATAAGTATTTATTTAACCAGCCAGTTTAGCCTCATCACTGACTCAATTCTAAAGTTTTATTATTGATTTAAAATTAGTATTTGTATTCCCTTTATTATATTAAGTAATTAATTTAATCTAGTACCTAAAGGGGGCCTCTGAGAATGCTGGAGAGGGACTTTTTACAAGGGCATGGAGTGATAGGACAAGGAGGAATGGCTTTTAACTGAAAGAGGGTATATTTAGATTAGATATTAGGAAGGAATTCTTGACTGTGAGGGTGGTGCGACACTGGAACAAGTTGCCCAGATAAGTTGTGGATGCCTCATCCCTGGAAGTGTTCAAGGCCAGGTTGGATGGGGCCCTGAGTAACCTGGTCTAGTGGGAGGTGTCCCTGGCCACGGCAGGGGGGTTGGAACTTAGGTGATCTTTAAGGTCCTTTCCAACCCAAACCATTCTATGAGTCTATGAAATATTAGGGTAACTTGAAGCGCTTTTATTATGCGCTTCACATAGTTCCTAAGTTGTAGTTTCTTGAAAGTGCACTTGGTGTGCATGAAAGCTTAATTATATTTGTCGCTCAAATAATCTAAATATCTGCTGTTATTAGAGTTGACTATGCCTCAGTTGTAATTTGGAACTAAAAAGATGTTTTAGTTATGAGACTGTTAACTTTAATAATAACAAAGTATTTATGTTCCACTTTTAGTTTGCCTGGGTAAACTTGCCAATAACTGTGAAGGTCAGTGGTGTAAATTACTGTTTGAGTTAACACGCTGAATAAAATAGTTCCTTTTTATATTGGGAGGTCAGGGTTAAACATGGGCATCTCAGAGAGTTAAGACTTGCTCTTTTTGGGCCTAGGAGAGTTCATTATATTTTTTGCAAAGGTTTGGTTATAATCACTCAACTAAAAGGTTGGGGAATGTATTTGTAAGGTCGTGAGAGTGTAATAATATGTTAGGTCTCTGATCATAGCCAGTTTTTTGTTCTTGCTGTGAAATAGAGATGAAAATGTCTGAGATAATGCAGCATCATGAGGCAGTTAAGTATCTGCACTCCCTTTTCCTCTAGAAAAGAAGCTGTAGTCATGTTAATTGAATTTCATATTTTTCTCTTACAGTGCTTGGCTGCTTCAGTTCTGTGGATTGTTGGAGTTGGCAGCCTTCAGATATATAAATAGGAGCTGATTTTTGAGGCCCCTGTTGACAAGGTTTTGTGTCTGAGCCTTTAGATTAGTCTGTCACACTGCAGCCTTGTGACAGGCAGAAGCTAATGTGCTCAACCATGTGACCCAATTTTCTAAGAAAAGTTTGGGAAAGCAGATACATAGTGGTATTAGCTTGTTTTTCAGAGTAGTAGAACTGAAATTGTAATGCCTTAGGTACTTAGTGATCTTGGTAGAAAAGTTTGTAGGGAAGAATTGGAGAAGTCTGTAATCTGTCTTTTCTGAAAACCTCACTTTCACTGTTGATTCAAAATATTAAATGGCATATTTTAGTGTCCTGGTTATTAGATTAAATTCTGGAAAGTGTATTATAACCTAGTCAGGTGATACCTGGACCTTAAGGAGTGAAAAACCAGAATTTCTTAAGCATTGGATAGCAACTTGATCTTTTAATTAGCAGCATGTATTTCAAGTAGTGAAGGACTGTGCTGACAAAGAGCTATAAAGACTCTTGTTTGTAATATGTTAATACCAGCATTAATACCTAAAGCTAAACTTAGTAGGTGGTGAAACATGCTAATTTGAAAGTGGAGCAAGTTAATTGAGATTGATGGTGATAGTGTATGTGTTAGCACTTTTGATAGTGCTTTGACTGTACCTGCACATAATAAGGGCAGAAGTACAGTCTTTATTTGTGTTATAATAACATAGAGCTACAATAAAGATGAGTAATTTTTTTAAGTCTTAGTTTTCCTGTTGTATCCACTGATTGGTGTATGGATGTAAAACTGCAATTTCTTAAGAGGTATATCAGAATAAGTCTGAGTTTGTAGTACTGAAACAAAGGTATAAACTGTTGAAGACCTGTGCCCACCAGCAGGCAAGCAGATTGATTTTATTCTTTTCTCCAGCTGTTGATTTACTTTGATCCTAGAAGTTTAGATTAACTAGACAAATGCTGCTGTCAATTACAGTTCTCATACTGTTGAGATATATGATTACAGCTTGTAGTGTGGCTGTAAGTTATAAAAAGTATTTCTTTATACACTAGAGTTAATTAACATTTGGTATGCTTGAGTTTTCATGAGCATCAGGAGACAAACATCCTATTTTATGGCTGCCCTTAAAGAGGAAGGCAGTAATCTGGAGTTTTCACTAAAATGTTTCCAAATGCTATAGGCAGTACTTTCACTACATATAAATTTTTGGAGGACAAGTGTGTCCTCAATTTGTAGTAGATGGCTTGATTACTGTATTGTACTTTTATTGACATTGGGAACTAAGGATTTGGTTACTATATCAGTTTTTCTACTAGCCTTGTTTTGTGGTGGTCAACTACCAGTGAAGGTGAAATATTTTTATTCCTAACTTTTGCAGTTGATGGCAGAGATGAGGGTTAGAATTATCTACCTTCGGGAGATGCAGAAGTCTGCCTTTATCTTAAAGACAAAAGATTTAACTGGCTCTTTGGAAATGCATGGGGTGTGTAAATTAATGTGTTCAACAGTTTAAAATAGTTTTACTTTTCATGGAAGAGTAAGATCTGGTCTAAGCTTATTTCAGAAATGCTTTTGGATCATCTGTTTTGAGGGCCTATTGTATGTTGTTGCTAGTTAATATTTAGTATTGGGCTTTGTATGCAATTTAAGCAAAGTTAAAGGACTTGTTATAAAAACATCCTCTACAGATATAAAATACAGTCTTAAAATGACTGTTGCACATCCTTCAGTGATTTTTTTGTTCTGTTTAACAAATTTTGTGAAAGTACAAACTGCTAATAATGGGATTAGCATCGGAATGATGCAAGATCACCATTACTGAAAAAGTGGAGCAGTCCTTTTGGAGTCTACAAAGATAAACTATGCTAATTACCAGAACTGTTTAGTAGATCCAAACTTGGTCTTGCTTGTTCTACCCATCTAGCTGTGGTTTGGTGGGTTTTTTTCTATGCTGTAAGTGCTCAGAGGTTGTTAATAAATTTTTTGTTAGCCATTTAATTCAAGTTGGTCATAACCTGTGCACACAGTTTGGTGTCTGATAATTATATTGCTTCTCAGTATTACTGTGTGTATTGTGTTTGTATGGCCAGGTTTTGGTAGCGGGGTGGCTTCTGTGAGAAGCTGCTAGAAGCTTCCCTGTGTCAGAGCCAATGCCAGTCACCTTCAAGATGGACCTGCCGCTGACCAAAACTGAGCCCATCAGCAATGGTGATAGCACCTCTGTGATAACATTTAAGAAGGGGGGGGAAACTGCTGCGCAACAGCAGCTGAAAGAGAGGAGTGAGAATATGTAAGAGAAACAACTCTGCAGACACCAAGATTGGGGAGGGAGGTGTTGCAGGTGCTGGAGCAGGGGCTGTAACCCTGAGGGAAGCCCATGCTGGTGAAGGTTTGCTGGCAGGACTTGTGACCCTGTGAAGGAGCCATGCTGGAGCAGTCTGTTCCTCAAGGACTATACCCTATTGAAAGAAAAGGTGGAAGGGACCCACACTGAAGCAGTTTGTGAAGAACTGCAGCATGTGGAAAAGGACCCATGTTGGAGACATTCATGGAAGACTGTCTCCTGTGGGAGGGACTCCACACTGGAGCAGGGAATGTGAGGAGGAGGGAACAGCAGAGATGTGTAATGAACTGACCACAACCCCCATTCCCTGTGCCGCTGGGGGGTGGAGGGGTGGGGGAATCGTGAGTGGAGTTTAGCCCAGGAAGAAGGGAGGTGTGGGGGGGAAGCTGTTTTAAGATTTGTTTTTTTCTCATCCTACTCTGATTTGATTGGTAATAAATTGAATTAATTTTTCCCAAGTTGAGTCTG